ACCCCAAGAGGACTCCCAGGACTCCCCGTGCCAGCGCCTGTTGGAAAGCAACACAGGAGGTGAGGCAAGGGTACCCTACAGATCCTGGGAAGGGGTCCCGCCTTGAGGCACAATGAATGACACTGCCAGGTTGCCAAAGATCCGAGATTCTACGGCATCTGCCTCCTGGGAATGAGGAAAGACCCTCGAGGGGTGGAAGGGAGCCCGTCAGACAGACTGGGCAGAGGGCAATGGACAGCAGCCTAGAAAGAGAGGGCAACGGGGACAGACAGACAGGCAGAGGGAGTGCAAGCCTTCAATTCAGATCTGACAAAGAATTCCAATAAAATGACTATCTGAAACAATGGCCAGGGAAGAGCTTGAACAAACAGTAATTTAGCACATTAAGATGCGGGTGCAACCTAAAGAGCCGTGTGTATTTGAAGCAATTTTAAAGACACACATCACAGTGGGAAAGCTCAAAACGCCAGGAGAGATTGAAAACCTAAACAATATGTGAAGCTTCTGTTCTTTAAAATGGTACCTCTCCCCCAAATGACCGCAGGTGCACAGATATTTGAGAAGATGAACAAAGAAACGAGGGAAAATGATGGAGTTCCAAGGAGCATCAGCACAAGGTCGGCTACATCCAATGCCAGTGAACCAACAATGACAGGGACACAGGTCCATACAAACACATCCCCAATGACTAAAGACACATCATTGCTCAGCACTGGGAGTGAAACAAGCATACCTGCTCAGGGCTCCACAGAAGGGACCAGTTCGACCACACGGGAGACAGGTACTTTCAAAACCACGAAGAGTACAAATACATCCACACAAGAAGCCTCTCCAACCAGCCCAAATTTCAAAAATACTGGGCCCCAAAATCTGCCCCAAACGGGGACCTCACATGAAAGTACTGAAAAAAGGTCTTCAGCGGCCACTGTCCCAGCCAACACAACAGCTGTGATATCTGACTCCGCCAACAGTTCTGATTCCCCAAATACTGAGGTCACCAATGCCACCACCAATGTGACCTCATCTGCCACGACTCAGGGGCCCTATTCCTTGACCACTGTCCCAGACAACCCCAATGCTGTGACCTCTGCCTCCGCAAACAATGCTGCTTCCCCAGCTCCAGTGGCCACCACTGCCACCACCAACGAGATATCACCAGCCAAGAATGAGGGGACCTCTGCCTCGACCACTGGCCCAGCCAGCACCACAGCTTTGACCTTTCCCTCCGCCAACACTTCTGCTTCCCCAGCTCCTATGGCCACCACTTCTGCCACAAATGTGGCCCCACCTACCACGACACAGGGGACAATTGCCTCCACAACTGTCCTAGCCAGCTCCACAGCTTCAACCTCTGCATCAGCCATCACTTCTGCTTCCCCAGCTCTTGTGGCCACAACTGCCACCACCACTGTGACCTCACCTGCCACCACTCTGGGGACATCCTCCTCGGCTACTGTCCCAGCCACAACCACAGGTACAACCTCTGCCTCTGCCACCAACTCTGCTTCCCCAGCTTCTGTGGCCACTACCGTGATACCTACTACGACTCTGGGGACCTCTTCCTCGACAACCACAGGGGTGACCTCTGCCTCTGCCACTACTTCTGCATCCCCA